ATGGCCTGCTCCTCTTTGCGCTGGGAAGTCCTGTTGGATATCTGCTGTGGTTTGATCCCAAGCTGTGCACGCAATCCTCAGTTCCGGAGTGAAGCTACCCCATCCTTTGGTGCTCTGTGTGGCTTGCCACACTGCCAGCTGGCTGCTGGCCTATCACCACTGTGTCCATGCTTGCACAGAGCATCTCACGCCCTCAATATGCCCACCCTCCTGTGGGGCATCCTGTGCCACCCAATCCCACTGGACACAATAAAACCCAGAGAAGCTCCAGAGGCAAGTGCCACTCATCCCATTTGATCCAGACACAAATTCTCTCAGACACAGGCTTTCCCCAGGGACAAGCAGTGACACTGCCTGCAGGGAACCAGGACACAGCACTCCAAGTGTGCTTCAAATATTCCAGTCCTCATGCACATTCCAGCCTATCCTTTCAGGATCAAAGCAGTTCCTTCTGGAAACATGTGTGTCCTAAATCATTCACAGTTCTGTGGTTCAGCATGGGGCTCACACTCAAAGCCCCCTCCCGCTGCTCCATCCTCATCCCCATCTCCTGGCTGGTTTTCTTCTCCTTGTGCAGAGTGGACTTGATCATCATTTCTAGGAAGAGACATCGCTGTGGTTAAACTGCCTAAACACAAGTGTAGGAATCCAGAGCCAGCCTGGCTTTGAACTTGGCTGTGTTTGATCTCTGGGATGCTTTTGGAGCGATCCAGAATGTCATCTTCCTCTTTGCAGGACAAGGGTGCTGGGGCAGAGTGGGAGGAGGGCTGCACATCTGGGTGGAGGGAGTTGCACATCTGGTACATTCAGTACTTCCTAAAAGTCACTGCCACGTTACCGTTTGGACTGGAGCCTGGGGCTCGCTGCATAGCACAGCAGATCAGGATCTGCAGCTGCATTCCTTTTGAAGGGAAAGCAAAAATATCCCTTTCAGCAGAGTCCCAGCTCCCTGTAACATCCAGCATGGGAGCAGGGGGACTATATGGGAGACCATGACCTTTCTGCAAGTCATTCCGGCAACTGCAGAGGCTCTTGCTGCCAGCAAAGGCACAGAGTAGGCAGCTTGGGAATGCGTCCCTGGGGACCACAGGCTTGGAGACTCGTTGCACCTCCGCAGCAAAACCTTGTCCTTCTGCCAGCCAGAGTGGGTTCCGGCCAACACAAGGGGGTGGCTTGTGCCACCCATGGCCAAGGAGATGCTCGACACACATCCTTGCCCACGTGGGCTGGCTCCACGAAGGTCCCAGCACTGACAGGACCATTCCTACAGAGGGGGACGGTGCCAGTATCCCGCTCGCGGGATGTCACTGCCTGTCACCGTGTCACGGACACACACACACACACACACACACACACACACACACACACATCCCTCTCCCTTTCCAGCAGCGCGGGATGTCCCCTGCACGCATCGGCGCAGCGGCTGGAAGCACCGGACATCGCAGTGCCGCCCACATCCCGGCGCGGCTGTCGATGATCCATGAAAAGCTGGACAATGGGGACATCTAGTGACCAGCCGGAGGCGCTCAGGGCCGGGCACTGGCTGCTAGGGGAAGATGCCTTCCATCCCTGTGGCCAAGGAGAAAATGGGATTAAGCATTCATCCCTGCCACACCACGCAGAGATCCCCCAGCAACTCTACCTCTGCCCGTACAGGAGGCAAGAGATTACCCTTGGTAATGGAGCATAAACTGGGAATTAATATAATTAGAAGTGACCAGCATGGATACAATAACAAATGCTGGAATAACAGCTCAAAGAGAGAATGAAATTGAAAGAGTTTCCCCAGTGAAAGTCACTTTCCCTTAGGGGAAAAGGTCTATTTTTTTTCAGCCTTATTCTGTACTAGATTTGCAAATACAATCTAGGGGGGAAAAAATGCACAAAACAATACTCCAAAAAATTTTGGGAGCACGACAAGGATATGCAGGGGGAGTGGGGACCTTCTGCTGAGGCCACAGAGCTGAGCACTCAACTGGCCCCTCTCTGATGGAGACCCCCACACTCCAGGGGCGGGAAGAGGCATTGGAACAATACTTTCCAATCAAAGTCAAAACATCCCCTTAAATAATTCATTCCTAAAGAGTTTGACTGAGTTGGTTGCTTCCAGAAATGTTAAATCATTCTGTCTGGATAACATTGCATTGTTTTGGGAGAGAAAAGCAATGTACTAAAGCTATTCTGTTGATTAACTGGGACATTCACCTTGTACTGACTATTCACGGCAGTATTAGAGATTTTTCCCAGTGGCATGGCTGTGGACGCATCATCCCAGTATTTCAAGTTCATCTAAAATGGAAATGCAAGACCTGTCACAAATCAAAGCAAAACACTGAGGCTCCTTCCAAAGAAAATAGCAAATCTCCTTTTGAGTCATCCCAAGGAAATCAAAGCTGAGATTGATACATTCCTTGTAATTTTGTTGTTATCCTTGTTGAGATCAACATGCTCCCAGGAGATGCTGCGATGGTTTCAACACCTTTCTCCAAACCTCACACAAGCCCAGATGATGATGGATGAGCTGATTCCCACATAACACTGCAGTTTCATCACTTTCGTGGGTTTTTTTTCCTTTTTAAATTTGCAAAATAAGCTTGGCAATGTGACCCCCCAAGACAAGTTGTGAAGTCAAAGGGAATGCCAGGAGGAGGGATGCTTCAGGTTGTCCTGTGCAGTATCAGGAGCTGGACTCAATGATCCTTGTGGAATCCTTCCAGCTGAGGATATTCTAGGATTCTGTGACTGTGCAGTGCTCCTGTGAGGTGACCCAGGTGACTGCTACTGCTTGGATTGTCCCTTGTGCCCCTGTGGCCGCATCCAGCATTCCCTGGAGCACTCCCATGAGCACAGATCCTTGTGGGAGCACAAGCCTTGACACCTGTCTGATGCCAGAGCAACACTCCTATCCAGCCTCTTCTGCCTCACCACTGATTCCTGGGGTGACTTTCCTGCAGCCTGGCTGGGTGATGGATGCCTGGCAGTGGGCTGGGATGGTACTCAGAGGGTGTGTTATCCGTGGGTTCGCTGGCATGGGGATGGCTGCAGAGGTATTGCTGCAGTCTGCTCCCCCTCTCCAGCAGCCTCTGAGCTCAGCTGCGTCTGGCAGACCCAACCTGGCATTTGCTATTTTCGGCAGCACTCTCTCAGTGGAGGTGGGGAATGGCACAGGGAGCACACACACACAGAGCAGAGGAATTCAGAGCAGCCATGATCTGCAGGCACTGTGCAAAGCCATTTCCGTGTCCAGGATGCTGTCACACTACCTGGCCTTCCCCAGGTGTCTAAATCCCACAACCTTGTTGGCCTGGGATGGATTTCTCAATCTTGGTCAACATGATTCTGCTGCTGCTGTGCCTCCATCTTCTCCTCATGAAGAAGCTCTCCTCATGCTCCAGCTTGTCCTACAGCCCCACAGAGGAGCTAAGAACAGCAGGATGGGCTGGCTTCCTCCATACACCATCCCCCTCTGAGGGGACAGCACCCCAGGCTGCCATGGAGCGTGGTGGCAGTGGGATGTGAAGCTTTTGCTGTGGCTCACCCCCCAGGCCACCAGGGTGGTTATTTTCACTGAGTCTCACACACAGATATTTCATTCTTCCACCAGATAAAACACTTATTCTAAAGCAGAATGAGGAACAGGAGAAGATGAGGAGTGCCCCTTGCCAACAGCTGACTCACCACCTTGGCAGGTGGGTCTGTGCTTTGCTGGCCAGTTGGTGACTTGGAGGAGGCCCTGTTTGGTGCCTGCCTCCCTCCAACCTCAGCATCAGCACAAATACGTGGGGGAGGTGACAGCAAAGGCTGCTGGCTCCCCCTGAGCCCCTCAGCACTCCCCACAGCACCTGTGCTCCTCTGGATGGGGAACCACAGGATGCTCTTGAGCCTGTGTGGCTGTTGGGCCACCCAAAAGGCACAGCTGAACCCAAAGTGCTGGGGAGAGCAGGGCAAGGGGTTGAAGACAGCAGCAATGCACCTTATGGAGGATCTGGGAGCACCTTTCAGCCACAGAAGCTTGGAATGCTTCAGGCAGCTGAGCATGCACAGGCTTCAGGACACCTGGGCAGGGCAAACCCTGATGCTCAGTGGCACCACCTTCACCCTTCTGGGCTCCTGGGCTGTGCTCTCATCCCCACCAGCTCCCTGCTGGAGCCCACAGCCCCCCGCCCATCCTTGGCTCCACTGATGCAGTGGCATCGCCCAGCATCCCTGACACAGCCCATGTGAGTGCTGAGCAAGCAGCACTGGAGACAGGAGGAGAAGTGGCCCAGCATCCTGGCAGGAGAAGGGTGGGAAACTGCCAGTGGTGCCTGCTGGTACTGAGGGTCGAAGAGAGGGAAAGGCCCAGAAAGTCTTGAGGCTCACCTCGAAAAACAATGCATTTCCCATGTGGTACAGTGCAAAAATGTACTGTGTGGCTGCTTCAGCTGTCTGGGGACACAGTGTATCATGGTCCCCTCATATGCAATCCGGGAAAAGGGACAATCAGAAATTAACAGATGAAAAATGTACATTTCCCTGCTGGAGAAGCAGGAGAGAGAAGACAAGCCTGGAAGCAGAAGGCAGGGCTGGGCACAGAAGGTCTTGGGGAAGGGTATGGGAGACACACATGGCAGATCCGTCCAGACAAGGGGGCAGTGAGAGAATGATGGTTGTCACACCGTAAATTAATCTCAGGGAAAACCAAAAGATTATGCAAGCCAAATACTCTCACTTTGGAAAAAAAAAAAAAAAAAACTCAAAAAACAGAAAGCATGGAACCACTCAGGAAGTGCATTGGTCATTTCTCTAAAAAAATGAAACAAAAAAAAAATATGATGCCGATGATAAATAATAGTAGTAATAATAGTAATAATAATGATAATAATTAAAAAATTGAGAACTCTTGCATACAACCCCCACCTTCCCTCCAAGCAGCTAAAAAGGTGTGGAAGGATGCAGACGGAAGGACGGGGCTGGCATTGTTGGGGCGACCCAGGAGAAGAACAATCGGAGCCCATCAGTACCAGAGCTGCACAGACATTTATTGAACACAAACAAGGACAAACACAGCTGGCTCACAGAGCTTCCTGAGGTTTTGCTTGTGGGGGATTGCCAAAAGAGTGCTTTCAAAGGCCCCTGGGGGTGTGAATCCCATACAGCTGAGTTCTTCCCACTTCCAGGTGCTTGTTAGTTAAAAAAAAAAAAGAGCATTTGTGTGTATCTCTGTGTGTGTGATTCCCTTAGTTTAGTAGGAAAATGGGCTTGTCTGGACCATGCCATGTTCCAAGAGAGAAGCCTGTGGGTTGAACCCGTACTTGGCTTCTGCTTCCCAAATGACACAGGGTGAAAAGTATGCCCTTAGCCTAAGGGCAGGGGCGTGAGGCTGCAAAGGTGAGCCAGGACAAGCAAGGGGGAGCACCAAAGGAAGGAGGGTGAGAAAAATTAAGTCATCTGAAATATGCACAGCTCCGGGTGGCATCATTATGTCCATACGCTACAGAAAGTACCGCCAATGTCAACTCAAACGTGTAGGTAGCTATGCTAGACTGACACTAGAGACCCCGCCAGCTCCTCAAGTCTTGCCAGTGAGAGAAAAAAAACAACGCCCCTCCTCCCCCCTCCCTTGTCCCCAAAAAGCAGATGAAGAATTAACACCCTAACTCTGAAAACAAGGACCATAACCAAAGAGTTTGGGAGCAGCTTCGGGAGCACAGAGTAAAGAGCTCGTAAAGAAACGTTCCAATGTGTGCATATGTGCCTGTGTGTTTATATACATATATATATATATATGTTAGTAAAGAAAAGAGTATCTGTGGAGGCAAAGGGAAGACAGTAAATGTACAGGCAGAACAGGCTGGGTGGAGTGCCGGTGGCTGGAGAGGGTCGGGTGGTGCGGAGTGGAGGATGGTGGGTGGAAATTAGAGTGCGCCCATTCCAGTGACCTCAGACGTCAGCCTAGAATAGACAGGGGCAGAGAGAGGGGTGGGGGGGAGACAAAAAACAAGTGCTTAATCACCAGAGCAGAAAAGAAAACGAAGACCCTGCGGGGCAGCGCTCCTCCTCTTGCCCAGATCCCACCTAGATGAAGTGGGCAGAGCATCACTGGGTGGCCTGGCGGTCCCCTGAGGAGGGCATGGGGGGCTGAAGCACAGAGCCAGTGCAATGGCTGGCTGCCTTCTCCTCTCCTCACTGCGGCCAGGTCGGGGTGTCACCCACCAGAGTTGCTGGCAGGAGTCATCCCAGAGCACAGCTTCTTTTCCAGCAGCATCCATCCACGGGGGACAGGCAGCTGTGCCAGCTCCCCTGGCTGCTTTGTTTTGCTCTGGTTTGGAAACTATGGAGAGGCTGAGCCCCATCCAGCTGCCTCACCTCTGCACAGGGGCAGCTCAGCCAGCCCTTCCCAGCAACTAAGAGCCACTTCTTTTTCTTTTCTTTCTCTCTCCTGTCTGGGGGGGAGGGATTGGCAAGGATCTGCAGGGAAGTCACTCAGCCATGCCCGCGGGTGGGGGGCTGGCCCTGTCCCTCACCCGAGCAGTGGGAGAGGTGCACGGGCATGGGCAGCGGGGTAGCGGGGTAGGATGGGATGGCAGGGGTCTACTACGGGTCGGGGCCCGAGTGGGTTAGGTGCAAGGAGGAGAAAGCACATACAGACCTCACCGGTGCTCCCAGCCCACACCCCAACAAGTGTCCATCACTGCCAGCAGACCCCCGTCCTCGGGGCCCTGCCAGCAGCCTCCCTCCTGCGCACATCCAGGGCTGGCGGCGGGTTGGCACAGCATCAATCCTGCCCAGGCGAATGGGCCCGTTTGAGTGGCTCTGCCAGGTGGGTGCAAAGATACTAGAATGGTCCTGTATCCCCTTCAATGCACTCCCCACGAGTCCACAGACACAGGCAAACAGGTCTGAGTGAGCCCCCTGGACACAGCTCACTGCCTGCATGGAGCAGGTCCCCAGCTCATCTCTGCAGCTCGCCTCCCCTGCACGCTCCCCTCGCCGGCCCTTGCCGGCCCCCATGGCACGGGCTGCGTCTCTCCTTGGACAGCAGCAGTGCTGGGAACCCTTAGCCCCTGTGAAGTCCTGTAGTGCCAAGCTTTTCATGATGAAAAGGAAGCAGTCAGGCCATTCCCAAGTCTTGCGTTTATTGGACTGATTGTTTTCACTGAATGGAGGAAAGCCTTTTGGAGGCCTGGAAGCACGTGGAAGACGCAGTAAGCGATGCTGGGATCCCAGCAAGCAGGTCCCAAGTGACGCCTCCCTGCAAGTGGCTCAGCTCCATTCCTGTCCCCATCCCCTGCCTCATCCACAGGACAGACGGCGGCAACTTTGCCCACCCATGAGCAAAATCCTTGAGCGAGAGTGGAGGGAAGGCAGGCACCCGGTGTGACCTGCGGCCAATCTGCCAGCAGCATGGTGGCTCCCGGTCCCCTGTCAAAGTGCCAGCTGAGGCCAGATGTCCTACTGGCAATGTCTGGTCCCTGCTTAGAGGTCTTAGCAAGACCATCCCAGCTGGCCTTGGGAAGCCCCTGCTGGCCCGTGGCACCGGGGGCGCCTGTTGCTCCCAGAGTGCCGGCAGGACAGGCTCGGCCATGGTGGGATGGGATCGGCTGTGGTGGGAGGCGGTGGAGGTCGGCAGGGGGTCTCACCTGGCGTTGATGAGGTATTGCGCAAGGCTGATGTTTGCAGGGGTTCCTGTGATGGTAATTTGGCGCTCCGATGACCCTTCCGTGGCATTCGCGATTTTGATCTGCGCTCCCGACATCTGACGAATTTCATTGATTTTGGTCCCTTGGCGTCCGATTATGCAGCCTATTAGCTAGGAAAGAAAGCACGGAGGGAATGTCTGAGAAGCGGCAGCTCTGGCAGTCACCAGCAGGACGTGAGCACACCTGGGACAAGAGTGACCTTAATGCTCATGAAAACAGGAGAGGGACAGCCCCGGGTGATTCCTACCAGCACGTGAGCACAGTCCTCCAAGGACACATCCAGAGACCTGCCCCGCTCTGCTCCTTGTGGGGAAGAATCTCCATTATCTGAACATGGTGCCCAGCACCTCAAAGAGCTTCAAGAAGGGCTCATTTCAGTAATAAGTATTTTCATGGTTTAATGAATGGTCATTGTTTTGCAAGTACTTATCCTCTTGCCAGTCACAGCAAACCCAAAGGTGGTTTGGACACATTGCTATAAGGAAACAAGCCTGCTGCCTTCCCTGGTGACAGGCCAGCCCCAGGAGTCCCCTGATCAGCTGGTGCAGTGACCCCATCTCGCATTTCTTCTATCCCACTTGGACACCCTCAGTGCCTCTGCTACCCCCTCTAGCTCTTTTGGTGCAATCCAGTGGCTTGCCAGCAGGCACGAGAGAGCACCACACAGCTGTGGCACCCACAGAAAAAGTGGACCCCATGTAAAAACACGTCTTTCATACTCTTTTGAAAAAGTCAGAGCGAGGTGGAGACTTGAATTTCCTCAACTGTTCATCCCTTGAATTTCCTCAATGATCCTCAGTGGCACTGAATTTCTTCAATGGTCTTTGCTCATTTGTGCATCTCCCTCAAATCATCTCCACAGCTTGGTAACACATACGGGGATATCCAGCTTGACCAACATGGGCACGAAGTGCTCTGCATGCCCTTTTTTGGCCATTTAAGCTCTTTTCCAAGGGCGTTTTATACATGGGATATTCATCTTGGCAGCTGCTGGATTTCTGCACAGTATAGGTAAATATGATTACTCCTCCAAATACTCCCTGATCCTTTGATCAGACCATGGGGCTGCCATGGTGGTTTATCCCATATGGACTTGAATATACACCGGAAGGGTATCCACTGTCCCAGGGTCTGTGGGGGGATGTTCAGCCCATTCTGGTCTTCACCAGCACAGAAATAACTCTGAGATGCTTCAGCAAATGAAAATCTGCTGGAGAGACCTGAGGAGCCAAACTATTTAGTCAGATGCTCAGCTACACCCAAGTTGGGTATCATCCGATTTTGTTCCACTGTAGCACAACTCCAAGCTACACCACTAAAACACACCTGGTGACTCTTAAAGGAACCCAAACCTGTCCTCTGCTTCCTGAGAGGGTGGCAGTGGGTGTTTAGAAGCCTTTGAAACAACAATGGGGGGAGCTAAGGAGGAGCTTTTCAAGAATGCAGGTGATAACATCTAGTATCTCCCAGGTCTGGTGAGAGCTGGGTCTCTGGTGAGTGAATGCTCTGAATGCTCCTGAGCTCTCAAAGGTCTCCTGGCATCCTTTCCTCCCATGTGAGTTCTTTTGTAAGGGGTCTCTTTATAAAATTTCTGAAGATGCCTTCATTGCTCAGCAGACGTGGCTGCTGGAACCTCAGGAGCGCTTGCAGAGCTCCCTCCAGCCTCCTGGAGAGGGGTCCTTGCTGGGTGGAGAAGATCTGGGACCAGGCCCCCACTGTCTCCTCTGCAGATCCCTTCTGTGGTGATTTGGCCTAGGGCAAAGCATCTCCAAGGGTTTCAGTCAGCAGATGCTCACAGGCTCTTGCACTGCCATGTCTCTTGGGGGGACAGAAGTCTTGGCAGAGGTGCCTGGTCTGCAGCCGGGATTGCTGCCCTTCCAGGGCACTGCCAGCTGCTGATGAACAGCAGGAAGAAGGAGCAACAGCTGCCAGGCCCCATCCAGAGACTCCTGTTGAGGATGGGCTGAAGGTGCTTGTTAGTTATGGAGATGGGAGCAGAGATTGGATGTCATCCCTCCACTTGCCGTCATCCTGATTTGAGCACAGACTGGGTCTTAATCCATAGAAACCAGTCAAGAAGCAAGTGAGGCTCATGGATCCAGGTGCTGGCTGTGTTGTGCTCTCCATCCCACCTCCTCCCTGCCCAGCATGGCTCCAGCCTCCTCCCACCAAATATCCCAGTCCAGCGCCCATGTTACCACAAAGCTTCCACCTATCAGACCCCACATCTGCCTGCCAGCAGTACTAAGATGAGACGCACTGTCCTTCAGACACTCGTGTGGCACTTTGTGGCATCAGAAATGTCACTTACCTCCTCTTCCCCACCACCCCACCCCATCACTACCCTTGAGCTGGAACATCATCTCAGACCCGCCATGGCCTGATTAAGCAATTACGAGTTTAATCAGGGCTGGCATGGGAGCTCTCTCCCTTTCCCAGTGCTGTTAATTGGGCATGTTTCATGAGCACTGAGTTCACTTGGAAAGGAAAATGGAGCACTAAGGATTGTACCTAGGCAAGCTACTGACGGAGTAAAGTCCAACGGGAGCTTTGTGCTTCAGGCTGATCCCCAACGGACTGCACATGGATGAGGGAACATGGGGAAGGGGCATCTCTAAATACATTTAACAAAGCCAAATGGGTGCACATTATACGTAGATATATGTATGTATATGTAAACATGTATGTGTATATACACACGGACATGCCAAGGAAGCACTTGGATTTACTTACATCATTGGGAATGGTGAGTTCATGAGTACTGGCCGGGGGACTGGCATCCAAACCTGGGCATACGCAAAGGAACATGGTTAGAGCTGGCAGAGGCAGTGCGACAGAGCTCCGCTGCTTTCCCGCAACACTGCCAAGGCTGCGTCCTGCTCCAGGCTGGGAGGGGAAGGGGATCACACACTCCGGGACAAGGAGGAGGAAGACAGTTGCTACCTGACTCTGGTGGAGCTGGGTGTCACCTTCCCTGCATCCCATGAGTGCTTCGCTTCCCACCCTTCATCCTTTCCACAGGGAATGGCTTCAGAGGAGAGTGCAAGGTTCCAGTATCAGCAAAGAGAGGTGGGTGAAACAACTTCCCACACAGCAACAAAGAGCATGCCGGCTGGGACACCCACCAGCCCCACAGGAATGCTGTCCATGCACCCTCCAGCCCTCTCTGGATGCAGCAGCATTGAGCTGCTGGCATGTGACAGAAGCTCAGTGCCCCCATATCAAAACCAGTATCCCTGTGGGATCAGGTGGCACAAGTCCTCTGCAAGTTAAGCCTCACAGACTCTCATGCTGAATTTGAGCCAGACTGCTAAGATATGCGACCTAGCTGAACCCAGGACAAGCTGTCCCTCTTATTCCCAAGGGAAAGCAAGATGAACAGTATGGAGATCTAGATCCTGCCTCCCTCCAAAATCACACAGCGAGGAGTGAAGGCAGTGGCGTGTTTCCTCCCACCCTCCCCTGGGTCAGGGAGAGCTCTCTCCTCCATGGTGGGAATGGCTGGAGCCAGCAAGATATCCTGTGAGTGCAGCTCCAGAAGTAAGAGGACACCACGCCTAGGTCAAAGCCTGCCTCTCCCATGGTTTCCCATATTAAATCACCTCAGTGCCAAAGCAGGGACATACTATGTGAAATCTGCAAGAAAGAAGCTGTCTGGTGCCTGTCAGGAATTTGCAGTAAGTGGGAAAAAAAAAAAAAACCACAAAAACCTTATCCTTATGATATAAAACACTTATGAAAGCTTGTAAGAACAGAAGAGACTGCCAGATCTGTATCCGTGGAAAAAGGGTGGTTAAGGAGGTGCAGAATGAAGAAGCACAAAGAGACTGGAACTGCAGGGCTCCTGCAAAACAAGAGAGCAGCAGCACCCAATTCCTGACATATTTCCATGGAGGGCCTCAGCACAGAGGAAGACGAGCTCTGGTTATCTCTGATGTGCTCATGCATGATCTTAGGATGTTAGGAAGTGAGGGTGAGGAGGCCCTGCCACCAGTTGTCCAGAGAAGCTGTGGCTGTCCCATCCCTGGAAGTGTTCACAGCCAGGGTAGATGGGATTTAGAACAACTTGGTTTAGTGGAAGGTGTCCCTGCCCATGGCAGCAGGGTAGAACGAGATGGGCTGTAAGGGCCCTTCCAACCCAAACCATTCCATGATTATGGGACAATGTACTTCCTGTGCTTTCCTAAATGCATCTTCCCAGACACACATCACTGACATTTGCCTGCAGGAGGCTTCCTCACCAGATTTTTCACTTGGGAGCACGGAGAGGAGAGGAATTGCAGGGAGTGAGGATGCAGATCCTCCAGTTGGCAGCCCTCTGCTGTCATTCACCCCTGCCAGGGGTACTAATGCCAAAACCTGTACAAAACATCTCCTGCCCAGGTATTACACCACAGTCAATGCTCCATGCTGACTTTACAGCACTCACTTCACCTGGACTGGCCAGAACACTGAGCCTCCTCACAGTTTGGGGCAAGGTGGACAGCACTTATCACAGACATATCCCTCTGGTGAGGGTGTCTCTTTCCCTTGGCCATGTGTTACAAGGCTCAGATCAGCAACAGCCTGAGTGTGGCAGAAAATGTCTTCTGAAGGGGGCAGAGCACCAGTGAGGGCTCTGAGCAGCACTGAGGCATCCAGGGATCTTAGGGAATAGAAACTAAGCTCCTCAGACTGCTAGGCAGCATCCTCCATCCCACACTCAGATGACAAGGATGATGCTGAAAGCCCTTGCAACACCTGGTGCCAAGGTACTGCACCACCCCTGTATCACACAGCCTTTGAGGAATGGCCACATTCTTCTCCATGACCTGGAGACTGTTTATTTCATTACCCCAGATTCTGCTTCTCTGATATGTACAAGCTGTCTTTGAGGATGTAACAAGAGTCAGGGCAGGATTAATGCCTTGGTTGACTGCAGTGGGCAAAGGGGGCATGGAGAAAACATGGCTGCACAGGTCAGTGTCATGAAATCTGTATTTCTGCAGTCTTGTGGAGCCTATTTGCTCAGGCTACGCTTGCTTTCATAATTAGGTGCTGTCACCAAACCTTTGAGGCATGCATGGGATGGATGGCTGTGTGCTGCAGGTCTGGTTCATCCTGCCTGTGAACCTCCAGGTCTCAGGATAGCTCCTCTATGCAATGGTAAGAAAAAAAAAACAAATCTCTTCCTCACATATGGATGAATGTGGGACATCTGACAGCAAAATTTCTCCAAGGCTGCAGCCACACTTCGGCTCCTCAGGGTCCTGTCCCACTAAAATTGCAACTCATCCAGAATGGCTCGGAGCTGCATGTCATGGCTGTTCCCATCGGCACTGTTCTGTTGTTTCTGAGCAAAGTTTATGCAAAATTAAAGGCAGGAATAAGGGTAATGACTCTGGTCTCTTCCTGGTACACAGACAGCCTTGAGGGAGACCTCACCACACCTGAGGGGCAGCACAGATCTCTGCTCTCTGTGGCCAGGGACAGAACCTGAGGGAACAGCATGAAGCTATGCCAGGAGAGGGTCAGACTGGAGATCAGGAAAAAGTTCTTCCCCCAGAGCGTGTTGGGCACTGCCCAGGCTCCCCAGGGCATGGGCACGGCACCAAGGCTGTCAGAGCCCAAGGAGCATTTGAACAATGCTCTCAGGCACAGGTGGGATTGTTGGGGTGTCTGTGCACGGCCAGGGGTTGGACTGGACGATCCATGTGGGTCCCTTCCAACTCAAGATATTCTGTGGTTCTATGGCAGTTACACACAAACATCACAGAGCCAGGTAATACAGCCCAGGCACTTTTCCTTTGACATGCTGCACCAAGGAGAAGAGTGCTGCCCTGCTCACCAAGACAATCTGCTGTCTTGTCCATGAATACCATGATTCCTCTCGGAGCACAACAATGGCACGGTCCTATTTACAGAATACATTTCAACCAAAGCCTGCTTACTTCCCTCTAGCTTTGTGTTTTACCTGATGACTGGCCCATCAGATTTTGAGCTTCTTCGGAGGAATGTAAGGGCAGCTTTTCTCCTGAAGAGCAAAGAAGAAACAGGTTTAATGCTTTTCCCTTCGAGGAGATAAGCAATGTCACTTCATTAGGAAGCTCAAAATATGATGAACATACTGTCAGAAAAGTAATTTCCAAGCAGTACTTTAAGTACCTCCATCCCCTGTGCTCTATCTGCTTCCCAGGTCACCGGGAACATGCCAGCCTTGAGAACAAGGCTCGGGCCACGCCAGGCCTGGCTGTCCTCCCGTCAGCGCAGCCCCCTCCAGCCATGACTCCTTGCCACTGCGGGAGTGCCGTCCTGCCGGGCTCAGCACCGCTCCCCGAGGCAGCACCCCCGGCCGGCCCCGAGCCGCTTCCGCCAGGAAGGCGCGGATGTTCTGCCGGGAGAGCGCGGATGTCCCGCCGGGAGAGCTCGGACGTCCCGTCAGAATCTGGAGCGGCGCGGGGCAGAGGATGCTGCCTCCTCCGTGGAGGGAGGGATGGTGCTCATGGTTTCTGCTGGGAAAGCCCAGGCTGAGAGCTTGCCCCTGAGCACCATAACCCCCACGACATCCATTAAGCCTCTCCTTAACCTCTCCCCATGGATATTGCCACTTTTTACTCGCCCTGCTCATTTCCATTAAACAACAAGAGTTTAGAAAGAGAGAGAAACTCTACAGGTAAGAGAAGGATATCTTGAAAGGGCGTGTGGGTACGTACCAGGGAAAGCGGGGGTGGTCTGTCCAAGGGGAGTAAAGGGGGTTTGCTGCATAGCCAACTGGTGGAGCTTGGTCAACTGCTGAGGGGTAGGAGGGACATTAGAGCTAAGAAGGTTATTGTCATAGAGTACAACAAGTCACACCGAAAAGCAAGAACAAAATTATAATGGGGGGGGTAAGGAAAACAAATTGAAAAATAGAAGAAAAAAAAAACTAAAAAAATAACCAAACCAGGAAGCCATGGTGAGACATGGCAAAAACATTAGAACATTAGCAGAAAGGACTTGGCCTGGGTATAGTGCAATAAAGCCCAAATCTTTGGCAGAAGTGCTTGGTCAGGGTCTGAAGTACGATACCAGCAAGAAGCCCATTCTTAGTGTCAGTTCAACTCCTCTGCCTCAGTGCAGAGCCAGCTGGCGGGTGTCACAGCCAGCACCCAGGAACCCTCTTTGTCCCCACAGGGCCACATTGTCACCGCTTGTCCCCACAGCACATGTTCTTGTGCTGTGCCTCCAATGGGAAGTGCCTCTGGGAGACGGATAAACTGCATTTCTAAATGCTAGGTCATTAGAAATATGGGGAATTATGGGCTTCAGTCATGACCAGTAGGTATTTCAGATCCTTATATCCCTTGCTGTGCCGAGGAGGTTTTGCTGCCTGGTCAGCAAGTTTTGTAGAGAGGTGTTTGTTTGGAATACATTTTGTGCTCAGTTTTACTGCTCCAAATTTAAAAAAAAAAAAAAAAACAAAAAACCAAAAAACAAACAAACAAAAAAAAACCAAAAACAAAAACAAAAAAACCAACCAACCAAACAAACAAGAAAACAAACAAAAAACAAAAAAAAACAAAACAAAACAAAACAAAACAAAACAAAAAAAAAAAAAAAAAAAAAAAAAAAAACAAACCCAAACAAACCAAAAAACCAAAAAGACAGGAAAAGGAAAGAAAATAAACCAAACTGGGCTGAAGACTGGCTGTGAGCAGGAGGGAGACTCTTTATCACCTCCTACTTTCACAGGTGCTCTGGGAGTTGTCAGCATAGCATCACCCCCCAAATTTAAACTGCTTCTTTTGCCCATCATCCCTGGCAATGGCGAGGCAGGAGTTATAGTTTCAATGTTTTGAGGGACAACAAGACTCAAACACCTCATTGCTGCTGCAGCAGAGCTGGGGAGGGAGAGTGGGGAGGTCTGGCTGGCAGCGGTGAGGGGGAAATGCTGGGAAGAGCTGACCTGGGGGCCTGCGCACACTGGGGGAGGCTGGAGGGAAGCAGCAGGAAGGAGTGAAAGACCTGAAAATCCCTGGACAGGTTACCCATGGGATCCCTGTCCTGTCTGGAGAAGCATGAGGACACCCAGCCTCTGCTGCCTCGGGGGAGAGGTCTCAGCACTCCACAAAAAGAGGTGTCTGCACATCTCTGTGCCTGTTTTGGCTGCCATTGGCTTACTTTAGCCAAAGGTGTGATATGATGGGTTCCTGCCACAACACAGCTGTCTCCAGGTAACAGTGGGCATGCCACTGCTCCTGTAGGGAGCAGGTACATCAGCATCTACTGCTTTTTAACTCTTCTGTTATCTACTGTTTTCTGGAGCTGCACCCGGTTTCTGGAATTCCACGTGACACCTGGTCCCACTGGCAGGACTCCAGATGAAATCTCTTTGCCCAGTGGGCTCCAGCCATGCCCTGGGCCAAGGGTCCTGCTTTGCCAAGTGGGGGAGACCAAAATCTTTTCTAACACTGACCTAGTAGACCTTCCAGACATAGTTTGGATAGTGGTATTTATGCAGTCCCTGCAATTAGAGCAATAAACAAGTCTAGGAGAGGAGAAGATGGCTGCATCTAGGTGTCACAGAAAAAGCTGCTACGTCGTCTCTTCCAGCTCATCTTCCCTGGTCAAGGGAAGGGACTGTCCCCCTCTGCTCTGGTGAGATGTACCTGAGGTACTGCATCCAGCTCTGGGGTGTCCAGCACAGGAAGGACATGGATCTGTTGGAGTGAGTCCAGAGGAGGTCACGGAGATGCTCCAGGGGACTAAAGGGGGTCCAAGAGAGCTGGAGAGGGACTTTGGACAAGGGCCTGGAGTTACAGGACAGGGGAGAATGGCTTCACATTGACAGAGGGCAGGGGCAGATGGGATACTGGGAGGGAATTGTTCTCTATGAGGGCACTGAGGCCCTGGCACAGGGTGCCCAGAGCAGCTGTGGCTGCCCCTGGATCCCTGCAAGTGTCCAAGGCCAGGTTGGACAGTGGGGCTTGGAACAGCCTGGGATAGTGGAAGGTGTCCCTGCCCATGGCAGGGGTTTGGAGTGAGATGAGTTTTAAGGGTCCTTCCAACCCAACCCAGTCTCTGACCCTATGATCCCACAGCTTTGATGGCAGGCAGCTACCCATTACATCCCAAACAGCCAAAAACACCCAGGCAATGCTGAAGCCCCTTATGAACCAAAGCTTCCCCTGTCCCAGAGTGTTTGTCCAGGGACAAAATCACGGCAGGAGAACATGCTGGGCATTCAAAATTCTGCCTGCTTTGCAAAAGACAGCCACTAAACTCAGACACCTAAAACATGCTTAAAATGCCCTAAAAGCACATTCTAGACTGTATTCTGCACTGAACATTGTTTAAAATGACCAGTCATTGAAAGAACACCCTGAGAGTAAGGATGGAGTGAGTAGCCCTGTACAAACAGCTTTATTCAGGAAATTTGCTGGGAGTGGGGCAGAGTGCAGTCAGCAAATGTGTTTTAATCCTGACAATCAGAGGAATACGGGAACAAGGAAAACACTAAGCTGTTGACATCACTTGCAAAGAAAAACTGGGATAAAGACTGCATTGATCTACCCTAACTATACAGGTTATTTAGTTGTATTCTGCTTATGGAGCAAAAGCAAAGAGTACATAATTAGGAATATTTCTTATCAACCATCACCACAGGCTGTTCAGAGTACACACATACTGGTGTCACATGGAAAGCCAAAGCCTGGATTTCTCTAATTCCAGTGAAACCATTTCTCCTAGGATGAAAATCCAACCTACAGCTCCCAAATGTTCCCATATGGGGTAGGCATTCATGGTATCAAACAGCCTTGCCACCTTCTTAACCATGGAAAAAGTAATTCCATGATTTAGTACCCAATGCACTCACTGGAAAAGGGAACACTGAGCTGCATCAACCCCTTCCCATGGGTGGGATGACTGGAGAAGGCTTTCCACCCACTGTCACATCCTCAGCCCCACTGCAGACCCCTGCCTCACAGCAGGAGGGACCCTCTGCAATGGGACCCAGTGGGTATTTTATCCCCTTGGAAACACATCTAGAAAGTCCCTGCCTTTTCTAAGAGCCATGACCACCTCAGAAGCTGAGCTTCACTGCTTTCCTCAAAGAAATCCTTCCACCAGCCTGATTTTCTATTTCCCTTGGTAATTTCAGATGCACACATTCCAGCTGTTGATCCCTACATGTCCCCCCACAAAAGTGCTTCCTGACCCCCCACAGGCATGGGAGCCCAGGGGTTGCCAGCATCAGCAAGCCTCAGTGAGAGCAGCTCAGAGCAGCTCCTGTCTCTGCACCAAGGAGCCCCAGGTGAATGGGGCACGTCCCCATGCTGCCCTGCCACCCACAGCAGTGAGACAGCCACCAAACCCAGGGTGACCACCTTGGTCTGGGGCCCTCAGCAAGGTGAGATTCAGCACGAACACCTTCCCCATCCCTCTGGGAGACACAGTGGGGGGTTTGTCCAATTTCCATGTCACCCAAAGGAGCACCCCTTCAGAAAGGCACATCCTTGCCCAGGCTTCAAGCACAAAACCCCCAGAGCTCCGGTTTCTTCCCACCCCACCAAGACACTCTGCAGCTAAATATACCCTTGGCTTACCAACATTTTAAAGACAAAGGGGAAATAGAAGGGAAAGTTGTGGGTTTTTTTTCCCTGATTTGATCATTTTGAGGCACAAAATGCACAGGTTTCTCTCAGAACAAAGGGATAGCACTGAATAATGCAAAAAATTTAGCATCAGGCCAAGTCCTCAGAAGTAATAAAGTTTAGTGCTAACAGGTTAAAAGGCTATTCGAGGTATTACAGATACTACACATGGCCAGTTACTTTGAAAATATGCTATTAATATTACTGGCTAATATTAATATTATGTGAATTGACAGTAGCATGCAGGTGACAGAAAAGGGTATATGAAAAATTAGGGTAAAACTCACATCTGGGTGTGGAATAGCGTATTGTCCCTGAATTGTATAGGCCTGTAAAGGAAAAACAAAGATGTTACCAGGGCTGGCAGGACATGAGAAGAGAACTCCATTCCTCTGCTGGGACCCCCTGTACCACATTAAATTCCCTGGGGCACCAAATCCTGGGGCAGGAGGGAGATGTTCCACCTCCCATTCAACCTAGAGCATGCTGAGCTACCTGACTTCAAGGGCTCAGGCTCAGTTTGGCTTTTTCAGAAGGAAACAAACAGCTCTTTATAGGTGACAGCACTGCATGGAGCAGGACTAGCAGGACTATGTGGCTGGTCTTTGCTGTACAAAAAATAAGGATCAGTTGCATGGGGGTTGAAAGTGGATGATCTCTAGTGCCCCTCTGATAACCGGAACCTGTGTAGCAGGTGCACACTGATATCACTGACCAAGCGTGACCCCAAAAAAGCAAGCCAGTTCTGTGAGCCTCTCCGTATTTCCAGGTGCACAAGTCCCAGTGGATGCTTTACATCCACCCAGTATATTCCAGTGCTCTGCTGGGGCATTAGAAAGGCATGGAGGCGAGGGCTGCCTGCACTGTGATGCCTTTCACCAGCTGTAATTGATAAATCCATGCAAGTATCTGCCAGGCAAATGGGTTTGTGTGTTTTTCCCATCCTTTGTAGCAATCCTTTCTGTTTGTAAATAACCCCAAAATAAGCACCAATGTGGGTGAAGAGCCATACACTAGAAAGCCTTAACCAGCTAGCAAAATATGTCTCCCTTGTTGACACATTATTCAGATGATTCTGAAAGAAATGGCGAAAGAGATGGAGAACACTTTGAAAAGGGAGAGTAAAGATTGCCAAGAAAAATGAAATGAAAAAGCCTTGGAAGCACCTGCAAATTTGCTGCATTTTTTGCAAAGAGCAAAATGCTTTGTGTGAAGGAAACCCCCAAAATCATGCAGGAGGAAAAGGGAAAATGGCTGTCCCAGTGCCCACCAGCATCCCAGCAAAATGGGGACATGACAGAGGCTGAAAAGTTGCCCGTCCTGGTGGTTTAATTTGGCCATTGGTTTTTGATCAGAAAAACTGAGTCAAAAAAGGTAATCAAGGGCAGGAAGGTGTCTTGGACAGATGCAACTCAACTCTGACCTTTGAGGGCTGGTCCCTTTGGTAGCTGCTGTTGGCTGCTACATCACTCAGCCTGCTGAGCTCCTGGAGGCTCATCCCACCCCAAACACCTGTCACCACTGTCACCAGGTGTCCTCTGCTCACCCGCCCTGTGCCACCCCTCAGGCAGAGCCAAAGGGCTCCCAACGTTGGGAAGAGCTCTCACTCCAGAGACAGTTGCTTCTTCCCACGATGTTACTTCTGTCCAAGAAACCAGCCATTCACAGCAGAATTGCTGCCTCCATCTCACTCTCCCTTTTGAACAGACCAGGCAGCTGGACTTGAAGTTCTTTTCCAGAACGGCTGCTCAGATGAAGTGACATACTCCTGATCCCGATGATTGACTAATTCAGCATGAAATAGCCTGTGCTCTGGGCTTTGCTCCTGTTCTTAAGTTTGTCCTTCTATTTATTATGGTTGGAGAGAAATAACTTGTGTGGAGCTGCTCTGGGTGGCATAAGCTGTAGTTTTGTGGTGCTGGCCCTACCTGGATAATGGAGCTCTTGAGAAGGTACATCCCCTGCTGGATGTCATGCACCTCAGCAGGGTGGCATCTACAGGCAGACCCTCAGTCACCAGGTGAGGTGAGGTGAGGAGATGAGGTGGAGAAAGCAACAGTGCAAGTTCCCTCTTTAGAAACAGCCGTGTGCTCAGTTGCTCTTGCTTCTGCTGATTTTTTGTTTTCAGAATAACCTCCAGCTCACCCGTGTGATGTTTATCCCACAAAGGAAAAACCACCCCCAAAGCTCACTGCTGGAAATAGCACATGATGTCTGCAAGGCTGCAGTGCCACTGGGGGTGACACAGTGCAGGCTCTACCACAGGGGGAAGCAGTACCCCAAACCAGCTGAGCTCCAGGGAGGAGGACACAGCTCTTCCATGGTGGCTGCCCTGAGCAGAGGAGTAGCTGTGACAAACCCTTCCCACCTTGGATCAGTTACAGCTACACAAAGGTATTTTCAATTGAGCTGGAGGTGCCAGACAGCAGTGACAGCCTCTTGTTCAACAATGCTTTTCTAATCCTCTCCTTCTCAACCACTGACAAATACTGAACTTGGGTCTAGTGAAGTAAATTCCAGCCTTTCCTTTGTGTGACACCCTGACATGGAGATGACACCCTGTCTCCCCAGGCTGGCTCTTCCCTTCTGCTCATTGTCCAGCATCCATCACAGGAGCTAAGCCAAGAGCTTTCAGTCCAGCTGCCATGGCACACAACGGATGGGATGACACCATGCAAGTCAGAAGACAAGAAACCTGAGTGCACTAACGGGCAGCGGCTGGTGCTGCAGTAAAAGGCTGAGGTTGGCAGTGGAGGCTGCAAGCGGGTCGGCTCTTACCTGACCACCTGCAAAAATGACAGGGGTGGAGGCGGGCTTTGGGCGGTAGGGAATGGTGGCACCTTTTGGTGGGGACTAGGAAAAGGGATAAGGAGAGGGAGAGAGAACATTAGAACAGCTTTCCTGAAACGGCGGCAAAAAGAGCGTTAGAAAGCACCTAATGGAGCACGGCCCCCGGGGCCGCCACAGCAACACCCGCACCAGGCAACACCGCGTTTCTGGACAGGAGCACATGGGGGAGAGAGGGGTTTCATGGGCAACAAGGACAACCTGGGCCACAGGAGATCCCCTGCCAAGGCACGGACCCCTAAATGGCCTCCTGGACCTCCGCTGCCTCCCTCAGCTTTGCTCAGCTCTGCGCAAACCACATCGCGTGCTGTAGGCTCTGGGAACCCTCCTCAGAATGCCCTGAGGAGAGCCTCAAGCAGCAAGATGGGGAGGTACAGCCCATCTGAGCAACCTGGTACCACGCTCAAGCTCTTTGGCTGCCCTCATCTTCCGCACCGCTGGAACAGGGTCCCCTTCAGGCCTTGGTGTGGTCCATCGCTGTCAGAGCTGTGATGTGGGTGCTGCAAGGCACCTGTGGTCAGCTGAGAGGTGTCCCTGCACATGGCAGGGGGCTGGAATTAGATGGTCTTTAATTCTAACCCACACATTCTGTGATTCCATGATTCCATGGTCTTGCTGCTCTGTCAGGGCCCTGGGTAGGTCTGAGCAGAGCTGCAGTGAATGAGCCGCTGATGTGATGTGCAGGAGCTGCTCACCCAGGTTCTCCAGGTTCTCCCTCCTGGTTTTCTCCTGAACAACTTACAGGCTATAGAAAACATGGAGATTTCTAGGGATCAGGAGACATTTCAGCTCTCTTCCTGCTTTCTACCCAAAATTAAACAACTCAGTGACTGCTATATAAGTACAGGCAATAAAAATTACACTATCTCATGGAAAATTCTTTTTTTTCCTGTACATTCTTTGGATATCTACTCGTAGGCAAGCAGCATTATCTAAATCCTGCTGCTAAGCACCTGTCTGTGGGAAAGCTGATCAAAGTACATCTCCAGCATCACAAACCCACTTGTTCTTTTATTACATTACAATCTTGGAGGGGACGAGCTGGGATTATCTGTTTAAAACTGAAAGGTGATATGGAACATCTCTGTGAGCCATTAAAGCCGGGGCACTTTCCAGATTTCAGACTGCAAGAAGACTTGTGGGTTTTTCTCTTTCCCATGGCTGAGCTGTACAGAGGAGTAGCACATCTTGCTTTGTGAGAAAAACTTTTTAATACACCTGGCAAGCATCACCTCAGGCTCATCTCTGCTGCAGTCCGTGACCTGGTCATCCAAACTTCCTCTGGCAGCAGTGCAGCTGTCTGAACATCACAGCCAGCAGGGATGGGTGATGTGCTCCTGGCTATCCCTCCTGAGATGTGCTGCTGCCAAGCTAAAGATGCTTCCATCTAGCTTGGCATCACCTTCACCAAGCCTTGCTATCTGAAGCTTTTCCAGGGGGAAACATGCTTCTTCCGGCTGTGAAAGGGCTGTGCAGATAGGCAGAGGGCCTTACACTGGTCCCTGCTTTGTCTTTCTCTGGTATGCACCAGGAGTGGAATGTGTCACCATCCTGTGTCCCAGGGGCTTTTCTCCTGGAGCTTCTCCCATCTGAGGTGGCAGGTGTGGACATGAGGCATGTGGCTGAGGTCATCTCCAGCAATTGGTACAGCAGCTCTGCTTGTCAGTATTTATCCCAGGAAAGGGCACCTTGGATATATATCCACGTGCCCTACAGTCCCTGCTCTCCACCAGCCTTCCTCACTACCATTCCCACTGTGCCTCACTGGAACACAGCCTTGTGCTCCCAGTTCCAGCCCCACCAGTGCAGAGGATGCTGTGGCCTCCTCCTCCTCCTGGTTGTGGTTCTTGTGAGGCAGAGACCAGGTTCCTGGAGCAGTGGCTGTAGCTCCCATATCCTTCTCATGGCACTCTGAGTGCTGCTGGGATGCCAGACCAGGCCATCCCAGCTTGTTGGCACCCCTCTGCCCTGAAGCCACCCTCTGCTCTGACACAAACCACCTCCTTTGGGGCACCCAAACAGACAGGCTTCCAGTGTGGGACTCTAGAAACTACAGACAATGGTGGGGAAGAGACACAGGGTGTATTTCCAGTGGAGGTACCAGGAAATGAGAGTGGTCCAACAGCGCACGGTGAAGGGAACGAGAGAGACACGCTCTACAGCTCCCAGCTGGGATTTTTTTTCCATGTGTACTTTACCCCCTTTGTTACAGACTGTACCTCCAGCATCACCACACAGATCTGTTTGACACACTGGATAATTGCGTCGGGTGTGCCCGAGATTGTCACCGCCCGCTCCGTGGAGTTGGGCAGCATGTCCCCCGCCACCTGGACCTGAGCACCTGTGGACTGGAGACAGAAAGAGAGAGGAAGGAGAAATCCCACAGCTGAATACCTTCACTCAGAGCCAGCTGCAGCCCCAACACCATGTGCCTCCCAAGGGCTTGGCATCCTGTGGGATGCTGCCCCTACATCAGCCACACCATCCTGGTAAGCAATGTGATGCACGATGCAGCACAGGGATCCCCTTTTCCAAGGCAGATCCCCCTTGGCTGCAGATCAGCTCCGAGGAGCTGCACTGAAGTGCAATAATGAAATGGAATCTGCCTTACCTCTCGGATTTCCTTGATCTTGGAGCCCCCCTTGCCAATGAGGGAGCCGCACTGACTCGCTGGCACCACCAGCCGCAGTGTCACCGGAGGTTTGCTGGTAGCGGTGCTGTTGCTCATGGAGTTGGTTATGTCCTTGGGAAGGAAAAGTGCAGCACATCAGCCCTTGGTACCTGACCAGAGCCACCTCCAGTGCCAGGTGGCACATCTACACACATTGTGGTCAGATGACTAAAGTGTTCCCTCTTGAACGCTTCCAGGGATGGTGACCGCTGCTGCCCTGGGCAGCCTGTTCCCAGGCCTGACCGACCTTCCAGTGAAGAAATCTTCCATAATATCCAACCCAAACCTGAGGTCATTTCCTCTGGTCCTGTCACTTGTTACCTGGGAGAAAAGACCAACCCCTAAATGGCTACACTCTCCTTTCAAGCAGTTGTAGAGAGTGAGAAGGTCCCCCCTGAGCCTCCTTTTCTCCAGGCTGAGTCTCCCAGCTCCCTGAGCCATTCCCCATCAGACTTGTGCTCCAGACCCATCCTAGTTAGAGATGTGTGAAAGGTTCTGTGCTGAGACCATGTCCCAGTTAGGCAAATCCAACCAGGCACTGCTGTCCCCAGCCATGGGCTGGTTCACATTTCTCACCTCCTCAAATTTGTAGGCAATCATGGCAAAAGCCTTGAAGATGGCATCGGTGGGGCCAGTGATGGTCACAATCCGCTCAGGGCAGTTCCCCTCCGAGATGTTGATCCTTGCCCCGCTCTGGAAAGAGAAGAGGAGTCCTGGAATAGTCACAGCCAAGCAGTCAGGTTGGGTCCCCTCTCAGCCTGATACCTGTGCCAGCCTCACAGCATTCCAGCTAAGCTTCCAAACTCCCACTCCTCCTCTGCAGTGACTTCAGCCCTGCCTTATCCCAACCCTTAGAAAGGGTTTCCAACGTTTTATTGCAAAGCAAACCCATAGGATCGAGGTAAGACTAGCTCATGAGGTCATTGCCTGTGAAGAGTTTTGCTCACTGTCCTGACAACTCCCCGGGAGCTGCAGGCACAAAGACCCTGGACAAACTCAAAGCATCTTACAAGTGACTTAATTTCAATGTTTCATTAAATACTTGACTCTGGAAAATGTGACAGGAGTTTAAGTGTGAAGGGAAAAACTGGTCCAAAGAGCTCTGGGGACAGCTGGCTTGCTTGTCCTGACTCTGGGAATTACTGCACATATCACACAGGGCAATGTGCAGCTCTGGCCACTCTGCACTCCCTTCCTCCTACAAATCACCCACAGAGCAGGCTGCTCACCTCCTCACGCATCTTCTTCACAGTCTCTCCTTTCTGAAACAAGAGGGAAAACCAAGACATTACTGATAATTCACAACTTCTACCTTTAAAACAATCCTACCAAAAATGCATCTCCCTAATACATGCCAATGTGTAGCCAAAAACGTGGGAGCTGTGATGCCTAGCCCGGCATCCCCACCTGATGGGCAACTGAAGAGCTGAGCATTTAAATCATCAAATATATATATACAAATTCACAACTGTGAATCTTCCCAGAGTTGGACATACTGATGGAAAAATAAGGCACAAGCCTACAGGGAAAATGTGTTCATGCTGTAAATCTTTGCCACCATAAACCTTTCTTTTCAAACCACCCAAAAAACCCCTAATCCTGTACGCCAGGACTTTCCAAAACACTGTGGAAACACCAGAGCAACTCAGGAAGCTTTTTTGGACAAGGTAAATGGTGTCCTCTGGCCTCAGAGACAGGGGCTATAGAATTACTTAAAATATAATTTAAATGTATCTGTGTGACATTTTTAGTGTCTCTTAATGAAGTTATTTGATAAAAACACCAGAGCAACATGACTGTAGACTCCCAGCCATCACCCAGTGAAGCAGCTGGAAACAGTTTGGTGGTTGGTGAGGTTTTTAGGGGAATGGTCTTTTGACCCCTTTGTGGGTCTCTCCTAATTTCTGGCTCACAAATGCAGCAACAAGCTCAGGCATCCAACACTTTTCAGGACATCACAGGGAAGAGGTAACTATGGCATATGCCACACCACAGGTGCAGGAACAGCATCAAAGGTACATTAAAAGGCATCCTTACCTTCCCAATGATGCTTCCAACTTCCTACACAGAGAAAAAGCCAAAACCAGAGGAACAGACATTAGAAAATGTGACGAGAATCCAACCCAGCCCCATACTGAAGTGAAGACCTGGTGGACATTGTCCCCAGCGTATGGACAGGGTTGAGGGGCAGGAATGAGAGGGAGCAGGAGCACCATGCCACCCTCCCCACCACCAGGACAGCTATTCCTGGGGCTGGGACAGCTGGGCAGAGCTGTGTGTGGGGTTGGGCAGGTGGAAGAGGGACCTGTGAGGACACCCCCGCTATGGGAGCCCCTTACCTTGCCGTGCATCAGCAGCCGGATGGTGAGGGTGACGTTGAGGCCGCCTTCGGAGACCTTGGACTCCATTTCCTACCGGGGACAGGAGACGTGCGCTAGCTGGGAGAGCAGTCCCGGCACAGGCAGCACCTTGGTGGGATCACCTGGGGACACAGCAGGGAAGGTTTGCTCTCAGAACAAGTTCCTCGGGGTAGGACAGACCCCACAGAGTAGCTAAAAAACAACTCTGGACCAGGGCATCAGAGGAGCAGCCTGGCCAAGGGCTAGTGGCTGCAGTGAGGCTTTCAAGCACCCACAGCACCTATCTAGCAAACCAAAGTTCACCATTTCCAGCATAAAGAAAACAACAAGGCACTTTTTCAGTGGTCAGGAATTGTCTCTCTGACTCGAGGAGCACTGAATGGGAAGGACAGAACTGGCATCCTGGTTGCCACACATCCTGACCTGAGAGCTTCCCAGCTGGGCAGACTGTGGACCACCCCACTTCCAGCCACTCATGTCATAAATATCTAAGGAAACCAGGCTGTTTTCCTTTTCCATGCTCTCTCTTTCCTCCTCTGCTCTCCAGAGGGTCACTGATGTTTTGGAGTCAAGGGCGGGGGGGAAATAAATAAAAACCACAGAATGGCAACAAATCCTTCATTTTTCACTCCTGATGTCTCTTTAGGAGCATCTCTGCAGGAGGACGTGGCATATGAAATGTCCCGGCAGCCCACTGCATGGGGAGAGCAGTCCTGTCCCAGAGGGAGGTGCCAGCATCCTTCTACGTGCAATGCTGAGGGATACAGAGCAATTCTCCCTCACGTTATTTAATCCCTCAGTCTGTATCAGATAGGAGATTTTTCATCCTGCTCGCAAGCATCTGGCATTTCCCTTTGCTCAGACAGGGACTTACGTGAGCAAAAAAAGCAGAGATAAACAAGTTCTCAAGTACTGCTTTAATTCAAGTCAGGATGAATAAACAGCAGCAATGCACAGACCGTGGCTGGGATATGGGTTTGATGCAAAACCTCATCCCAGAGGTTATTACGAAACCCAAAATGGATAAAGCCACGTGGTTTGCAGAGGGATAGAATTCCCTAAAGCTAAAGAACACTGGCTCACTGGGAATGAGGCTGCTTATGACCTACATGCAAACATGGGGCTTGAGGCTGCTGCATGTTACAAATGAAAAAAAAAAAAAAAAAAAGGATGGAATCTTCCTCACAAGGAGGATAAGAAATGGAATGTGTTGAATACCAAAACAGATTCAATGGCACAGGGTTCCCAGAGAGGTTGTGGGCTCCCCATCCCTGAGAGTGTCCAAGGCCAGGTTGGACAGGGCTTGGAGCAACCGGGATAGTGGAAGGTGTCCCTGCTCATGGCAGGGGGTGAAATGAGATGAGCTTTAAGGTCCCTTCCAACCCAAACCATCTGGTTCTATGTCAAGCCAAAAGGTGCTTTTAAGGGTGGGGAGAAGGAGAATATTTCCGAGGAAAAAGGCGACGACATTGGAGACTAAAGTAACATGAATGGGCTGAGAGACTGTAACAAAACAGGCAAGATCAGGACTTTTCAAGACTGAGCCTACTGTAAGGTGTACAATGAAGGAAAAGAGTAACTAGCTGTGTTGGCTAATCCCAGGCTGACTCCTATGCATGGGAGGAAGTGCCAGAAAGGGTCAATAAACAGACAGGTGGAGGTCAGCATTTCCAGTGCTCACAATGTGCCAGGAGACAAACTCCTGCACCAGAGACATCACAGAATCATCACATGGTTTGGGTTGGAAGGGAACTTAAGATATCCCAGTCCACCCTCCTGCCATGGGCAGTGACACCTTCCACTACCCCAGGCTGCTCCAAGCCCTGGAGTTCAACCTGGCCTTGGACACTTCCAGGGATCCAGCTTCTCTGGGCACCCTGTGCCAGGGCCTCCCCACCCTCACAAGGAAGAATTTCTTCCTAAAATCTCATCTAATCTTCCCTTCTTTCAGTCTAAAGCCATTCCCCCAGTCCTGTGGCAGGGAGGGTGTTTGCCATCCCCAGCTCCACATCCCTTGCAGGAGGAACCCTGCATCAGGCCGTTACGTAAATGCTTCCAATTGATTGAAAAAGTGGGTCATGTGTTAGCCAAATGCTCCTGGCTTTAAGATTTATCAGCATTATTAAATTAAGCACGCTTCATGCTCCAGTGAGCGGGAAAGCTATATTGGCCTTTTCTTAATCATAATAGTGAAAGGTAAGTGTTTTATAGGGGGCTCATGAGCTGAATGGAAGGCATGGCAACAATAGATCCGAAGCATTTACTCTGGGCACAGGCCTCCTCCAACAGCCCTCATTCTCCATGGACAAAGGGCTGAGAAAAATTATCCCCCAAAATGCCATTTTGAGCATTTCAGAGCATTCCCTGCCTGGAGAGAGAACAATCTCAGCCCCTTCCTCTTCACCATATTGTTCTGCCTTGCTCACCACAGCTTTGAAATGGCTCCTTTGTCCACCCCTTTGAAAGCCCTGAGGACAGCATTACATGCACTCCAATGGACAGAGTAGATACAGAGCCCGGCTCCAGCCCAGTGTGAAGCAGGTGCAGCCCCACAGAGGTCAAAGACATGGAATTGGGAGACAGAAGTGTCAAGCTAGGCCCCAAAAGGGAAGTTGCACATTGAGTCAAGCCAGGCTCTGCCAAGCAACACACCTGGGCAACCACAGGTGGAGGACGGGAGCATCCTGCTTCCATGCATTGGAAGCAGCCAAAAGCTTTTGCACCACAGCAAGGGGAGATCTGCACCAAAGCTGGACAATGCCCTTCCAAAGGATGATCCCATTCCACAATAAACAGGCCTGCTAATTGCAGCTGCCTTTGCAAAAGTGCCTGGAGGAGACATCATCAGTTCTCAGAGCAATATGGTTCTTCCTTGGTTCAAATACATTAAATTCTGTGAAATTTCCTTAACCCATCAGGAATCCCCTATGTCTGAAAAAACAACTCAGGAATCAGCGATCAAGGAATAGGAAAGAAAATGAAAGCCCAGAACAGCAGGAAGACTCCTCTTCCCCACATGCACTCCAATTTTTCTCTTTTCCCATTTTTAGAGGTGGGAGCAATTGCCTCAGCTGGCGCTCTTGTATTTATGCTTGCTGATACCTCACAAATACCAACGCATCCCTAAAATTTGAGCAATTCCATTCCAATTAGGGAAAATCTGAACACTGTGTATTGAATTAATTTAGGAACACAATCATTTCCCATACAGGAGGAGGCACACGAAGCAGAACAGGAGGAGGGAAATGGAGCTCTGGGCTGGATGTTGCTCTTCAGTCTAGCTTCCATACAAGAGCTGGAAAAGCGGGTGCTGGGATCCAGGGAATCATGCCTCTGATATCCTATCAGGGGTGCTACCCCTGATGGCAGGAGGCTCAGCTGAGCTTGAGCAGAACCCAAATCCCTGCAGGAGCTGGGGCACATTGCTGGCTCTGTGCTTGCTGAAACCAGCCCTTGTCCTCCTCTTCCTCTTCCTCCTAACATGCATTCCTAGGGCTCACTGGGTGCACGAGCCACATGCAAGCAAGCTTTGCTTCCCAGCGTTGTTTTTGGGGGGTATAGCAGTGTTTTGTTCAAGCTGTCCAAAAACAAACAGAGAGGACAACTCTGTGCAAAGATGCCTCACTGGCATAACTCATCCCCTCCCTGAAATGTTTGAGTGGGAAGTTCACAGACACCACCAAGCCAATGCAAAGGAGAAAGTCTCCATCACCCCCCCACACCCATCACAGGGCCTCCAGAAAATCCCACTTTCTTGTAGGTGTATCACAGAATCACAAAATGGTTTGGGTTGGAAGGGACCTTAATGCTCATCTTGTTCCACCTCCTGCCATGGGCAGGGACACCTTCCACCCTCCCAGGGTGCTCCAAGCCCTGTCCAACCTGGCCTTGGACACTTCCAGGGACGGGGCAGCCACAGCTTCTCCTGGTCCCTGCAGGGTGATAAAATCCAACACCTCAGAGCCCTGCTGACCACGAGCCCTTGAAGCCCTGTGCAGGTAAAGAGCAGAGCAGGCAGGGCCTTGGTCTGTGCAATCCCTGCTGTGCCACCTTCCTGAAGGACCACACCCAAAACCCCACCCTGGAGCATCTTGATTGCTCAGTGGTAATGACATCCTGGAAAACATCCACCACACTTCCCAGACTCTCTGGTGTTCCAGGAACCCCACTAGCACAGATATTAAAGACAGCGACAAACCCTTGGCATCCTCCAGCACACTGCTATGTCCCACAGCCAGGATTTAAAACAAGGGTAGCAGAATTTAGTGTCGGGAATTAACATCTGGGACAGAACATCCAACACTCAAGACAGCATTTTCCTCTGTGAGGGTGTCTTCATAAAACTCAGACCAGGGTTTTCTGACCCTTGGAAGACAATGGACGTATTAAAAGCAGAGAAAAGCCAGAGAGTCCAGGAAAGAGGATGTTTTTCTGGCATTTTAGGCTTTCTAGCCCATTTTCTCAAGGAGGGCTTCCCGTCCATCTGCGTAAGCAGGAGCTTTCTCCCCACTCATCTCCCACTGACTTGATCTTGCCATTAAGACCTAATCCGGCGATTTCCAGCGTGGTGTTTTAGTGGCTGGGAAGCTCAGCAATGCAGCCAGCCCAGGATTATGACGACGGCACAGTCTGGCCAGGTCAAGACAGGGCTGGAAAGAGGAAAAACCTTAAACCACATGGAAATGCATCAGCCACCAATGAGCTTTGGCTGTTGGGAGATGAAGCTGTGAAAGTGTAGTAGCACCATCTACACGAGTGACACCAAAAACCATTTGGGAACAAAGCTGCAATTCCAGCTGCTGCCATTTTCCATAGCTGTAGTCATTTTGGTTGGCCTTTCCTCCTCTCCACTCCCCAGCTTCAGTGGAAACATTTTACCAAAAAAAGATGCCCTGTGCCCTCCTAGCACGTCAACCAGCAGGATATTCCTGCTTCTCCCCTGCCCATGATCATTAAAAGCAGCACAGGGAGACGAATGTCCTGCTCTGGCCCTCACAGCAGGCATCTCTGGAGGATTCTTTCTCAGTTGCCTGCTCCCATTTCCCTGCTCCCCTTGCTCCCCTCCAGCTGAGGTCACAGCCTTACAGAATCATTTAGGTTGGAAAAGACCTCTACGAACACC